TCCCAGTCACTGCTCGCCAAAGTAGTAGGTGGAACAATGTTTTGTATAGTATGTTATGCCAATTGAGCTTGATGTCCCCTGCAATGCTGTTGGAGATCTTGCTGAGTGTATGACGATTTTATACTACTAATTTGATGACACCATGGCATTCTGACCTACAAACATGTAAGAATACATGATAGGTATTTTTGGCAACAGCAGAAACTACTGAAAGGATTCATAATTAACTAAGGAATTTGAAATGAAATCATTAAACTTTCAGCTTTTCTTTTAACACCAAGTGCATAGCATATAGCTGTGCCTCCCACCATACTCCTGAATTTCTATTTATCATGGTGCTTAGCATTCAACTCCAGCCATGAGTTTTACTCCAGCCCAAGGACAGTGATGTTGATAGTGTCACTGACCTGTGACAGCTGTCCTGATGTAGCTCTGGAAAAAACAAAACTAAACCAGTTACTGTCCAGTTGATTCCAATGCATAGTAGCTCTGGGGGAGAAGCAATAGTACCCTACCATTTCATACCTACTCTGTCCAGTCCAGAGATGGCTAATGCTTGGCCATCTAATGCTGTAAAATAATAATAATAAGTTATTAAAGCTGAGCAATGATAATTACCCAGTCTACATCATCATCAATGTAAAGATGTGGGACCACACATTCCAATTCCATATACACCTTAGGCTGCCTTTTGAGGATATTTTCCCTTTCCTGGCTTCTCTTAAGGTTTAGGTTAATGCAATTTCATCTGTATAAAAATGTGGAAGAAAACCCAGTGAGATTTTCCCTGCCAGAATACCAGACAAGATCTCCACCTTAGGAATTCTTAAGCATTGAATTGTGTCCCCAAAAAATATGTGTTGGTATCCTAATGCTGTAGCTGTGGATGTAATCCCATTTGGGAATAAATTTTCTTGTTGTGTTAATGAGGCCATAGCAATGTAAGGTTTCACTCAACTCAACTAAGTGCCATCAAGTCGGTTCTGACTCATAGCAACCACTCCTTGGGTTTCAGAGGCTGTATCTCTATGGAAGTAGATTGCCCAGTCTGCCTTCCGAGGAGTGGCTGGTGAGTTTGAACTGCCAGCCTTCTGATTAGCAGTCAAATGCCTTAGACACTACGCCACCAGAGCTGGAATTGACTCCATGGCAATGGGTTTGTTTGTTTTTAAAACTGTCATAAACCTGTTGTCGTTGAGTCAATTCCAACTCATGGTGACCCTATAGGACAGAGTAGAACTTTCCCACAGAGTTTTCAAGGCTGTAATCTTTACAGAAGGAGGCTGCCACATCTTTCTCTTATGGAGCAGCTGGTGGGTTCAAACTCCCAACCTTTAGGTTAGCAGCTGAGTGCTTAACCACCAAAGCTCTTTAACTGTCCTAAACTGAAAGCCAGTTAAGAAAGAGTAAATTGATTGCATGTAGGTATAATTTGTGCTTTCTGCAATTACTTAATATTAATATTTTATTATTAATAATACTTAATTATTACTTATTCTGTAGGAAGGATTTTTTAAAGTGGGAAAGCGGAAGGATTTATTGAGTATCAATACCCAATGAGACAGAGAATCAATTCTCTAGAATGTCTGTCTCCTTGAGCAAGGGGATACGTATGATCATATAGGGAAATGGGAAGGAGTCAAAGATCTCTGGACTGCCAAGAATGTCTTTGTTCTCCTTTTACCATGATTACCTCGGTGTCCCCCTTCCCAGGGTCGTCTCACTTCATGGACTATGATCCTCAGCCAAAACCAGTTGTGGGAGAGGGTTGTGTAATGAAAAATTATAACCCTACCAATATATAATTGAAAACAACAAACCTAAAGAACCCAGCATCCATGAAAATGAAAGAGAGGGGAAAATAGCAAGTTAATCACTATGCTGCTATGCTGGCTGTCACTGCCGTCGAGTCGGATTCAACTCATAGCGACCCCTCCTTGGGTTTCCGAGGCAGTATCACTACGGAAGTAGATTGCACAACCTTCCTTCCAAGGAGTGGCTGGTGGGTTTGAACCGCCAGCCTTCTGGTTAGCAGTCAAATGCCTTAGGTACTATGCCACCAGAGCTTCTTAGTCACTATGATTAAGGTCCATTTTGATCATACCTGTTAGTCTGTTGAAGTTCTGCAGTTGTCAGCGAGGGACCCCGTCAGCCTTCCACTTCAGCCTTCTACAGCCTCCCCTGTTTCTGAGGTTCACCAGCATGGGAAAGATTTTTTTTTGTTTTACAATTTTTTTAATGTATTTAGGGAAAATACTGTATAAATTAAAACTAACTTTCAAATTTAATTATGTATATACTGCAGCTAAATGAAGGAGAGACAATGAAGCCGGTTGAAAGTTCAGAGAATCCAAGTTATCCTGTAATCCATCGTCAGTATATTTATTTTTTATCAAGTAAGGAAAGTAAAGAAAAATTTATGAAGAACCCAATCAAATATATCTGCCAGCCCAAACCTAAGCCCACTATACCCATTAGGATTGCCATTGTGGGGCCTCCAAAATCTGGGAAGACTACAGGTGAGGATGTGCTTGCCTTTGTTTTCCTTAAGCATAAACTATTATGCTTTGACTGCTATATATCAGTGAAAACTCTTGCCACTTCCCCAGGAAACCAACCATCAAAATAGACTCAAAAAGAGAAAACCTAAATAAACTATAATATTGAAAAAAAAAAAAGCATTAAAAAGTATAACCCCACTCCTAAACATCCCAGATCAAATGGTTTGAGAGGAAACTAGCTTCGAAGTTTAAAAGAATTAAAAAATAAAAGAAGAGATCATTTCTGTGTTTTTGTAAGCTTTTCCAGTGTAGTGAGTGAAAAAGATAGTAGCTTCCCAATTTACTTTGTTTATTTTTTATTAAGAAATATAGTCCCTGTGATCAAAAAAGTATAAGAGAATACAAGTTCATTTTTAAATTAACATAGCCCTGATACCAAAATCTAATGAAGGTAGTACAAGAAATTAAAAATAAATATACTTATAAATACAGAATCAAATAGCTAAATAAAATATTAGAAAATTGACTGTAATATATTAAAAGATATTTTCCTAATACATTATATTAAAATAATTTATTAATATAACCTATTATGTTAATAAATTAAAGGATAAAAACAATTATTAATCATTGCTGGAAAAGGCATTTGATAAACTATAATCCTATAATGTTTTAATGTAAGTTTAGATTGTGTTATTTAAAAAAAAAAAAAAAGGGCAAGTAGTCTAACAATAGGTTGGTTATAGTTTTCCAAGATGGCGTGAGAACAATGTGAACAGTAGTTGTTCATATAATGAGAATTTAAGAGAAAGGACAAATACACAAGATATTTCAAAGTTTAAAAAAAATAAAATAAGTTTTAAGCACTGACTGACTAGAAAATGAAGAGAAGAAATAATGTAAAAGATTAATTTGTAACCAGGAATAATGAGAGTTTTGTGTTCCAGCTCTTTATATGAAAAGTTTGTTTTGTCTATTTAAAATGTTTACATAACAAAAGGGCATTTAATACTTGTATTCTAAATGCTCACAAAAATAAAAAAAACTCAGTGCCATGGAGTTGGATCCAACTCATAGCGACCCCTCCTTGGGTTTCTGAGGTGTTATTTCCCAAGGAAAGTAGAACATTCACATTTAAAATAAAATCCCACATCCAGAGCAGAAGGTGAACATAGATAGAGACAAGGCAACCTGATTTCTCATTCTTTGTAGAAATAAAAGGTTATTTAAATAATGATAAGATGTCACATTTTAAAAGCTTAATTATTTTTAAAACTTTGAAAATACAGGTTTGATCCCAGAGTTTGTGGCAAAGCTGAGGTTAAGGGCTTGGCAGCTTTCGTGGAGGACCCCTTTGGGTGGCTCTGACTGTGGTCCCAGATCAGTTAGTCTGCATTCTCCATGGGACAAGATGGGCTTTCCCAGGTGTTTCCCAGGCAACCCACTATTGCCCCCAGGAAGTGCTCAGTAACCATGCACAGCAGAGCATGACCACATTTAAAAGTTACTAGCCACCATTGCTTTGGGTCTCACTTAGGAAAAGCAGAAACCAATATGAGTCTGGTTTCAATCAGTGGCACTGCCTTAGTTATCTAGTGCTGCTATAACAGAAATACCACAAGTGGGTGACATTAACAAACAGAGAAATTTATTTTCTCTCAGTTTAGGAGGGTAGGAGTCCAAATTCAGGGTGCTGGCTCTAGGGAAGGCTTTTTTTTTCTGTCGGCTCTAGAGGCAGGTCTCCTCTAAGTTTCTGCTCCTGGGCAGGCTTCATGTGCCTTGGCATGTTTCTTCCCCCAGCTCTACTTCTTTTGCTTTCTTGTTCAATCTCTTTTATATCTCAAAAGAGATTGACTCAAAATAAACCCTACATTAATCCTGCCTTATTTACATAACAAAGACAAACCGTTCTCAAATGGGATTATATCCACAGGCATATTATTATTGTTAGGTGCTGTTGAGTCAGATCCAACTCATAGTGACCCTATGTACAACAGAGTGAAACACTGCCCAGTTGTGTGCCATCCTCACAATCTTTGCTATACCTGAGCCCATTGTTACAGTCACTATGTCAGTCCAAATTTGAGTGTCTTCCAACCTGAGGGGCTCACCTTCTGGCACTATATCAGACAATATTTCAGGGCTATTCATGAAGTCTTCCAGCAATACAGCAGACAGTGTTTCATTGCTATTCATAAGGCTTTCAGTGGCCAGTTGAGAAGTGAATGGCCCCTTCCTTCTTTCAAGTCTGTCTTAGTCTGGAAATTCTAAATCTGTCCACCATGGATGACCCTGCTGGTATTTGAATACCAGTGGCATACCCTCCAGCCTCACTGCAACAAGCAAGCCACCACAGTACAACATACTGACACATGAGTGGTCGATCCACAGGCATAGAGGTTAGGATTTACAACACATATTTTTGGGGGACATAATTCAATTCATAACATTCCACTCTTTGGCTCCAAAAATTTCATATCTTTGTCACAAGCAAAGCACATTCACCCCTTAACATTATTGCAAAACTCTTAAATCAACTCGAATTCCAAAATCTCATCTTCTGAAACATCTAAATCAAGTATGGGTGAGACTTTAGGCATATTTCATCCTGGGACAAAATTCCTCTTCATCTGTGAAATCTAGAATACAAATCTTCTGCTTCCAAAGGACAATGGTAGAACAAGTACAAGCTATACATTTCCATTGTTGAAGAGACAACAGGTACCAAGTAAATCCAAAATCCAGCAAAACAATTTACATTAGTTTTCAAAGCTTGAAAATAATCACATGTTCTCTAAAACCATCTAGGCAATGTCCCTGCCCTCCAGACTCTGGGTGTTGGCCATGCTCTCTGGATTCTGGGTGGAGGCCCTTCAACCCTAGACATTAGCTCCACCTTCAGGCCCACTGGGATGGCAACTCTGCTCCCTTGGCTTAGAGCAGCCCCATTCTCCTAGTCTATCTGAGTGGCAACCTCACCCCCTTGGCCTCAGCAGGCCCCATTCCTCTGCTTCTTGGCCATGGCAGCCCCACTCCCTCAGCTTTGGGCAGTAGCCCCATTCTTTTGGCCAAACTGAATGGCAACCCCTCAATCTGGAATTGAGTTAGTGAAGATCTGATTCTTTGAAACCTAGGAGGCCATGGCACTACCCTTTGATAGCCCAGAGACCATGGCTCCACCCTTTGAGACTGATGCTCATAGCTATGGTCATAGCTCTACTTCCTGTGCTACTTCCAACAATTCTGATGATCTCCAAGCTGCTCCAGGGGTGATTCTTTTCTTTTCTTGGAGGACACAGATGTACATCCTTTGGCCTATTTCCTGCCTACAGAACTCAAAGAGGCAGACATCATTTTCTTCTTTTGGTCTTTCTCTGTCCCCTTCAGACCAAGCTGATTGGTATTCTGCTGTGGTAGTTGGTTAGATCCATCAGTCACAGACTTAATCTGTTTAACAAAAAATTACGTAGGCATATCCTTAGTGAACCTTCTAGGACATATATCTTTACACTAGAATTTTCTAAACCTTTAAGTTCTGTTTTAATTTTGCACTTCATTTTTAAGTTCATCCGATTCTTCTCACATGTTACTATAAGTGGCATAGAGAAACCATACACGCCTTTAAGATCTTGCTTAGAAATCTCATCCAGTTATCCAAGTTCATCACTTACAAGTTCTACCTTCCATCAAACATTTTAATATGATTCAGGCAATTTCTTTGCCACTGCATAAGAAACATTCCCTTTCCTCCATTATCCAAAAATATGTTCATTATTTTCTTTTAAAACCTCACCAGAAGCACATTAAAATCCAGATTTCGAGAACATTCTCTTGCTGGTGCCATATGTATTCCCTAAGATAACAGAGACATTCTCTGTAGCTCTCCTCACTTCCCTTTGAGCCCTCATGAGAATTACCTTTGACATCCACAATTCTACTAGAAGTCTCTTCAAGGCAATCTGTTGTTGTGAGGTTCTGCTGAGTCAGTTTCAACTCATAGCAACCCTATATACAACAGAATGGTCCTATGCCATCCTTAAAATCATCATCATGCTTTGCTCATCATCACAGCTACTGTATCAACCCATCTCATTAAGGGTCTTCCCTCTTTTTGCTGACCTTCTATTTTTCTACCATGATATTCTTCTCCAGGGACTGATCCCTTCTGAGAACATGACCAAAGTGTGAGAGATAGAGTCTGGCCATTCTCATTTTAGGGAGCATTCTGGCTGTACTTTGTAAGGAGCATACCAGCTGTACTTGCTCCAACACATACTTATTCATTCTTCTTGCAGCCCATGGTACATTCAACATTCTTCAGCGACACACAATTCAAATGCATCACTTTTTCTGTGCCTTCCTTTCTCATTATCCAGCTCTCACATGCATATGAGGGCACCGAAAATACCATGGCTTGGGTCAAGCACACCCTAGTCTTCAACGTGATATATTTGCTCTTAAACACTTTAAGAAGTCTCTTGCAGCATATTTGCCCAATGCAATAATACATCATTTGATTTTTGACCACCACTTCCACAGGTGTTGATTGTGTACCCAAGTAAAATGAAACCTTTGACAACTTCAATCTTTTCTCCATTTATCATGATGTTGCTTAGTGGTCCACTAGTGAAGATTTTTGTTTTCTTGGGAGCTCTGGTGGTGTAGTGCCTAAGGCATTTGACTGCTAACCAGAAGGCTGACAGTTCAAACCTACCAGCCACTCCTTGGAAGGAAGACTGGGCAATCTACTTCCATAGAGATACCACCTCAGAAACCCAAGGATGTGTCGCTATGAGTTGAATCAGCTTGACAGCAATGAGTTGGTGTTTGCTTTTACATTGAGGAAGTCTATAGTTTACTGAAGGCTATAGTTTTTTATCTTCATCAGTGTGTGCTTCAAGTCTTCTTCACTTTCAGAAAGCAAGATTGTGTCATCTGCATATTGCAGGTTGTTAATGAGTCTTCCTCTAATCCTAATGCCATATCTTCATGTAGTCCAGCTTCTGAGATTATTTCCT